GGGGGGGTGGTGGCCGGAGCTTTCAAGCTTTCAAGTGAGGTTTGGTACTATCCTACTCTCACACAGGTGATGGATGACTAGATGGTGCATTGATTGAGGCGATTCGTGACCCTGTGCGAATGGACGGACGAATGCATTCATTCGCGGGTTTGCTGTACATGGATACATACATCGAATGGAACGAATCATCGGTCACGTCATGTGTGCAGGCAGCGCTTGGGGTCTCTCTCGTGCACCCCTGTCTCGTCCGTCTCGGCCCATCCCACCACAGACAGCAGCCCACCCCATCTATACACACACATCCACACATTCACCCACACACACATCGATCCGATCCACCTCTCAACACCCGCACCAGCCATCCATCTGTCCATCCGTCCGTCCGATCATCCAACGGTGATCCGCTTGTCCCTCCTCTGCAACAACACCTCCACAGGCACTACCAGGTCTGCACCGGCACCCGCAACCGCCGCACCCACTGCTGCAGCAGCAGCCGCCCCCGTCGATGGGCTGCCCCCAGTCTGGTTGTCGCCCCAGTCGCCAAACAGGTCCTCGTCGTCATTGAAGAAACTGTCATGCTTCTGCGTCGGGGTGCCGCTCAGGGGCTCCCCATGACCCTGCTGGTCCACGTCCATTTCCATCTCCTGGCTGTCCCCGTCATCCATCTGCTGGTCGTCCTGGTCATCATATTCGTCTTTCTCGGGCTGTGTGAGGCTGGCGAATGCCGGGGGCGAGTTGCCGGGTGTGTGTGCGCCGAAGTATGTGCCCTCGCCGGGAGAGGCGGACAGGCGCGAAGACGCGGCGTGTGGGGGGGGGTTGGGGCTGATGCTCCATCTCGGGGTGCGACGGTTGGGCGGCTGCAGACAGAACGAAATAGACAAAGCCAAGGAGGAGATGGTGAAAGAAGAGTCCATCCATCCCTGCGTACCGGCGATTGATCTCCGTTGGCATAGTCATCCTCCGGGCTATCCTCCCCTTCTCCCTGCGCCTGTGCGACAGCCGGCGACACCGAACGCCGACCGGCATCGTATTGGTAGGGGGGCGAGGTGGAGGGGGACGGGGCGGGCACGAAGTCGGGCGAGCGGCTGGGCGGCCGGCCCATCGTAATGAGTGGAAGTGCAGGGCGGGGAGGACGCAAGTGCTCGGCGGTCAGCCCGTCAAGACTCTCAGTGGACTTGCGGCTCTCTGATATCAACACACACAGGGCAGAGGCAAGTAAGTCAGGATGTCATGTTGCATCATCCATCTGCGCATGCATCGCACCTCGCCCAGTTCCGTTGGGGTCATGGCTCGCCGTCATGTTGGCCACGTAGGCGTCCATCACGCCCCTGAACAGAGCGCTGATCTCCTCCTTCTTGGCAGCGTCAGACTGCCCTGCCAGGCCGTAGTCCAGATACAGCTCGTCAAAGTCCCCGCCCAGCGACTCCCTCTCCCCGCCATTCAGCATGTCCAGCGCACGGCTCATAAAGCGAAACTTCTGATCCACCGTCAGAATGGACGACAGGGCACCGCCCAGCCATCGCTGCGGCCACGGATGACCGCTCTCATCCGGCTGTGTGGCGAGCGTGGCCGACGGAATGACTATGCGACTGCCTGGCGGGGCGAGTGGCTCACGCCGATACTCCTCAGGCACGTCGGGCATTGCGAACGTGTCATCGTGCATGGCTGCATCGCCCTCGGCGTTGTCTGCAGTGATGCGATGGAGAAAGAGCATTGCAGTGGTCAAGGCGTTGCCCATGCATGCTGTGCGGATGCAGTGTGATGCATTCCCACCTGTCTTCGCGTCTTCCGGCGGCAGAAGCCTCGAGCGAGGCGCGGCTGGATGCGGCATGCTCCTCTTGCAACGAATCTCATCCATGTGAAGAGCTCACAAGGGCGTGGCCATGTCATATATCATCAGGAAAGGCATCGGCTTCTCATCGGAGCCGTCCCTGCGTAAAACACACTGCGATCCAACGGCCGTTGTCTTTTTTCCTTTTTCTTGACGCAGAGCTGTGTATGAAGAGGAGCAGTGGACGCCAGCGGCGATCGATTGTCCATTTGCAGTGACATAGCTGGACGACGAGAGTTGCTCTCACTGTTCGCTTGGTGTCCCACTTTCTGGCTCAGTCGACACCAGCTGCCGGTCTGCCAGGCATGCACGCCTAGCTCTACACGTCGGCGGCATCATCCTCTTGCAGCCCTCTTCCACATATTACACGATGTCTGGGAGTCAGCATTCACCCGCCCCCAAAGCCGTCACAGCTGCACCAAGGGCATCCTCTCCCGTCATGCACCGCCGCCCCGTGTCCCCTCAATCGCACCGCCGCCCTCTCAGCCCCTTCAACAACACCAGAAGAGGCCCAAATGCCAAGGCCCCAGGCCCTGGTCGTCCTCTGAGCCCTCCGGCGAGGCAGAGGGAGGTTCAGCCGGGCAGCCGCAATCGGCCCAACCTATCGCTGGAGGCTTTTGCCAACAACAACAAGGCCCACTCAAGCAGCACCAAGGCCCGAGCAGCAGCGGCCTCAGCTGCCAAGAACATCGCAGCCCCACCGGCATGTCCGCAGAGCCCTGTCCGTCGCGGCGGTGCTCGCTTCCCGTCTCCCCACTCCCCCTCGTCCAATCGCTTCCGTGAGGTGACCACGCGGCCATTCGCCGCCCCTCACAATGCCACCCAGTACCGGCGTGAGACGTCCCCTGGCCGGCGGTTGAAAAGCCGTGCTGGAGCCGACCCGCGGCTGCTGCAGAGTGTGCTGCCTAAGCCTGGGTCATTGCGGCTTCCTGGTCGGCCAGATGCTGCAGGGAGTGACAAGGCACCACCCATTGGAAGGGCGGGGGGAGGGGCAGGGAGGGGAGCACGGGCCGCGCAGGACCCTCGACCATCTTCGCCATTCAGGCAGCTGATGGCGCTGCAGACGCCCATGACGGCATATCGACCTGTGGCGGCGCAAGACAGAAGGGTACCATCCCCGGCGAAGGCCTCCCCCAAGATGGATGCACGGCCGAGATCCCCCGTCCCGCGCAGAGGCTTTGTCCGCCCCGAAGGCAACACGTCGGGTGGAAGGTCGTCGTCTGTGTTGGCTCGAGTGCCGCCCTCCACCAGCAGCAGCAGGAAGGCTCCTGTCCAGGAGGAGCCAGGTGCCCAGCCCCGCCGCAGTCTCACTCCCTCGCCGCCCGCTCGTCGCGGAACCTCCCTATCGGCCAGATCTGACCCTCCTGCAGCCAAGAGCCCCTCGCCCCCCCGGGCACGCCTGCCCAGCCCTCCCGCGAGGTCAGGGGCCAGCCTAGTGGTGGGCAACGATCAGAGGAGACACAAGAGCGCACTGAGCCTGGGGCTGACAACGGAGAGGAAGAGAGACGGTACGCGGGTCACAGTGGCGGCTCCCGCTGTGTCGTATTTCGCTGGTCCGGCACCCCCCGTGCCGCCTCTTGGGGAGAGCTCTTCCTCTGTGTGTGCTGAGAGGGAGGGGAGGGGCCGGGCTGGTGGCGGGCTGGGCGGGGAGACGCTGTTCAAAGTGATTCAGAGGGCTGGGCTGAGCGAAGCCGTGCTCTACAAGCTCAGCGACGTAAGAAGGGACAAGGAATATTGTCTGTTGCTGAGCTGTACAGATACGTGTCTGTGCGTGTATTCCCGTGTGTTTGGCCAGGTGTGGTCTCATTTGCTGATGATGTGTACGGGTCAGCAGTACCAGACCCTCACGGCTGAGATCTCCTTCTACAACCGGGAGTACTGGGGATGCGGCGCGTGGCTGCTGCATGACAAAGTCTTGGTCAGTGAGCAATGAAGACACTCACGTCATGGGACACGGTGGACGGGCCCCTTTCCTTGTGTGTTGTATTGTGTTCAGTCGCTGTCTCTGCCCTGTGAGTTTCGCTACACACTGCATCTCGCATTTGTCATGGAGCTCATCACTCTAGGTGCGTGGTTTGTCTGGCCCCCAGACAGAGCAGGCACCTATGTGTTGTTGTCACGCTGTGTGCGTGTCAGGCGTGGGCAGTCACGTGTGTGGCATCTACTCGGGTCATCTGTCGGCCGCCCTGTACCCCATACTGGCCAAATACCTCTCGCTGCTCTACCACAAGTGCCACCACAACATCACCCTCACACTGGTGCCCATGTCAATGTATATATACTACACGCGGCAAAAATGTGACACCCTGTGTCTGCTGCGCTGTGTGTGTGACCCACAGGACGCTTTGGTGGACCTCTGGTGGTCGGAGAACGATGAACGTGTCTCCCGCACCCAGCTGCTGGACCGCTTTGCAGCGGCCATGTACACGTACCAGACCAAGCCCTACCCCGAGCAGCAGCAGGACTTCATCGCACGCATCGGCACGGAGGTCGATGCACCCTTGTTTGAGGGCCACCGGCTGATGGAGGGGGAGGCGCCCAAGGCCAGACGGTGGAACCGGGAGGTGCTCAGATGCGATGTGGTCAGGGCAGGGAGGAGGGGAGGGAGGGAGGGAGGGGAAACATGCACATAGATGCTCTGTTGTGTCTCTCAGGCTGGCGGTCTGACTCACTTGAAGACGAATTTTGTGTTCCCTGACCCGCCCACGGACGTGGTAACGCGGCGCAGGAGCACCGTATGCAGCCATTCATCCGTTCTCCCATTCTCTCCAGGCTGGTGGCACTGGTGTGGGTGCGTTGGACCTGGGCATCCTCGAAGGCAGCAACAGACTCAAGTAACACCCCAGGAAGCCTAAGCGGCGAGGGGGTGGTGTGTCCGTCTTTTCGTTCGTTGTCCAGGCGCTACGATGCAGCGACACGTTTGGCGTATCTCAAGGCCAACGTCTTCGCCATGTTCCAGGAGATCAGAGCACTCGCAAGGTATATATGTGTAGGAGACAAAGAAAGCCGAAATATTGGCATGGCGCTGCTGTGCGCTGTTAGATTGCTGGCGAGCCACCGGGCTCCTGTGGATGGTTGCGGCCCCAACGTGTACGCGTACAGCCCGCTCCTGACGCTCTCCGAAGCGGCCGAACCAAACACACTCACCGCCATCGGTCGGTCCACTCCACACACATCGATGCACACACACGTGTCTCATCTCGTATCGCTGTGCTGTCTGTCTGTCGGTCTGTCTGTCTGTCTCGCAGAGCCTCTGCTGCATTGGGAGTCTCTCGAGGCCTTCTACCACTTGCCCATCGCCCACCTGCGCAGCGAGATCATGCCTTGGCTCAACTTCACGCCAATCATCGTCCACACGGAGGAGGAAGCGGTCAGACACCACACAACACACGCGACAGGGCTCTGCCAAAGAGCATCGCATCATGATGTCATTCGTGTGTGTGGTGCATGTCTTGTCTGTCTGCAGGCGCGGAGCAAACGCTGTTGGAGCTCGGATGACCCCAGGTGGGCGAGGAAGGCCATCGGGAGGGACCCTTTCCACAGATACGGCGCCAGCCTTCTCGGCACCAAAGGCGGTGGGGCAGAGGACGAGCAGCATGGCATACGCGGCCGCCCTCTTCATGTCAGTGGGCATGTGTGTGTGTGTGTGTGTGTGTGTCAGGCCCGCTGCTGTATTTCTGGCCGGGCTCGCCCACATTTGGCGACCTCACTGACGAGCCTCTCCTCCCACCGCTCGCCAACCGTAAGCCAGAAACTTCACCGCAGGCACCTATCAGCTTCGTCCGTCCCTTGCTTTGCAGCGGATCGGTACACGATGGTGCTGGACCTTGACGAGTGCCTCGGGCACTGCTACTTCGACGTGAGACACAAAGCGACCCGTGCTTCCTCCTTGCGGCAAGATATGCGTGTGTGTGTGTGTGTGTGTCAGGAGGTGACGGATGACGATGTGGGTGTGCCGTTCGCTGAGCGTCCCGGTCTGAAGGATTTCCTGGAGGAGATGTCGCAGCTCTACGAGCTGGTCGGCTGGACTTCCGCCACGCCGGTCGGTCAATCAATGCATTCATTGAGCAGACGAGCAACGATACATCGGGCCATGTGTTGCTTGCTGTCAGGACTATGCTGATCTCGTGTTCGACAAGATCGACCCTGACGGCAAGGTGTGTAGGCATTCAATGCACCCCTCCGAGCATGACATGAGTGTCCCTGGCTCCCTTCGCTTGCAGATTGGCACGCGTCTGTATCGTCACCACGGAGTCCCCTGGGGCGGCATCCACCTCAAGGTGAATCTTCGACCTCTCCCTGTCTGTCGGCCTCTTTGACTCATCTCGATATGCCTGCCTGCCAATCAGGATCTGAGTCGGCTGGGCCGTTCGCTGAGCCGCACACTCATCATCGACAACACCCCGGTGCGTGAGGGCGTCAGGGAGACAAAGGGGCGTTCATCCATGTTTGTAAAGTGTGCGCGCCTTTCCATTGCAACTGTAGGAGAACTTCATCCTGCAGCCGCTGAACGGCCTGGCCGTCCCCAACTACTACCGAGGCATCAGACTAGACAAAGCACTCGAGCGATTCAGAGAGGCTCTCAAACGTCAGGCAGCACCACGGCATTGGGAAGCGCTTGCTTACGAGATTCAGAAGTCTCCTTGTTGTGTCTCTCTCTCGCCCTGCAGTGCCGGTCAGCCTGGGCAAGGACATCCCCGAGTTCCTCCCCGAATGGCGGGTACAAAGCAGCACGGATCACTCACTGTGAGGAGCTGCTGTCTTTCCTCTTTTGCTCCTTTCTTTTCTGTGTCTCTGTAGGAGGACTTTGTGTTGGCGGCTGGATTCCAGATCAGGGACCTGGGGTGCCAGCATCTCATCACCATCGACGGTACTGTTTCTCACACACACACACACACACACACGGTCTGTCTGTTCAGCCCCCATACATCCATCCATCCATGTGTCCATCCATCAGACTACGGCAACAAGACCATCGTCCCCCCAGTCGATATTCCGAGCCACCAGCAGCACCACCACCAGCAGCTGGAGATGGCCCTGCCGCACTGCCCTCCTCCCCCACACCCCCCGCCCCCACCCCCATATGCTTTCGTTGCCCATGCACTCGAGCAGCAGCCGAGTTCCTCGGCGGCCGACCAGCAAAGCAGCGACATCACCACCACTGAGGAGGCGGACATTGTGCGTGAGGCGGAGAACGGGCTGACGGTGCGGGTTTGAGTGAGGGGGTGGGTGTGTCTGAGTGCGTGTTGTGGCAAGGCAAGGGCGGTATGGCTGGGTGGTTTGCACGGTCGGTTGAGATGACGCGCGAAAGATACATACGTACAGCGGTTCATTGACCCGTGTGCATCATACACACATACAGACGTTGGTTCGGTCCATCAGCTGTCCATTCGACAGACGACACAGCGCGACAATTCAGCCAGCCAGCCAGCCAGCCAGGCAGCCAGTCTGCCTCCCACTGGACAGCCTGCCATCTGCTCTCAGTCGAAGCCCCACTGCCATGAGTTGAACCATCCGCCCTTCTCGGAGACGGCCCAATCAATGACAAGGGGGGTCTCATGAGGGGCAGATGACCCACATGTCCGCAGGGTGTACACTCACGATACCACAGCATTCACACGCATGGATCGGATCCATTTGCTCTCAGTACGCACGCAGGCACGCAGCCAGACACGCAGGCAGCAAGGCAGGACCGGTGATGTTTGTTTACAGGCATTCACACGTTTCCACCCTTTCGGGCATTCCCCCTCCCCCACCAGCCAAACATACATACAGACAGGTAGGCAAGACACAGACCGATTGTGCGTGGTCGGTCAAGCGCTGCAGCTGCCTTCTCTCTGCTGTGCACAGCCACGCCGACCGAGGGGAAAGACGAAGGGTATGGCCATCGCTTCCCCCGCGATCGTCAACGCTGGCGTAGCAGCAAGAAGGTCAACCAGCAGATGGAGCACGGCGCAGGATAGAGATAGCGCATTACATTACGACTGGACTGGGGGGGTTGAAAAAGAGCTAGCTGTACACATCCAGCCATCCATCCATCCATCCATTCATCCACCGAGCCAGCCACGCGTGTGTGGGTACGGTGCGAATGCGACCGAGCAGAGCCAAGCCGAGCCGATGCACAACAGCGACGCCATGCAGACAGCGATTACGATGCGTCTCTCCCTCCCTACCCCTTCAATGGTTGTGCGGTGCAAGGGGGGAAAAATACATACACACCACACCAGAGATAGGTATACACACCGAATAGAAGACAGACATTGCACAGGCATAGAGTTCTCACAGACGGTCACCCTCCCACTATGTACAGCACACCACCCAGTGGACGGGACGGACCAAGCAACTAAATCACGCACGCGACCGTTGGACAGCTACCGGCACATATCTCTCCTTTCCCCTCCCCCACCCTCCCTCCCTACTACTTGACCACCCAGCCAGTGGTGTCTTTGTGATGCATCGATCAGGGTCTTGACTGGTCGGGCAGAGGGTTCCTGACACCGGCCGGAGGAGGTTCAAAGGGGTTCTGGTCCAACTCAGCGGGCAGGGGTAGCCGACGGTAGGCCTCCACCGAGTCACGAGAGATGCCTGCGGCCTCGCACCGAGCCTCGAGGGCCTCGTTGGCCTTGATCCCTGCACACAGATATATGGACAAGAGACAAACAGGCAGTGAAGTCTGATGGTGTGTGTGGATCTGCCTGTGCTTTGTGCGCACCGAAGCCCGGGCAGCCACAGAAGCATCCCTCATAGGCACGCCTGCGCCGACACCACATAAAGGACAGCAACACAGACAGAAGGCCATTAGCGCCACGCCCGCAGGCAGCGCGTGTGTCTATCTCTGCCTCCCCTCCCTCCCCCTTCTCCCAACGCCTCACCAGCTTGTGAAAGGCATCAGCTCGCGCGGTTGTTGTCCCTCCTCTGTGATCTCGGGTCTGGGCACCCCCTTGTCGGCAGGCCGACCCATGGCGACCCCCCACAACACCAGCAACGCAACAGCCAAGAGACGCATGGTCACACACGAGCCGAGCGGGAGGTGAACGATTTTAGAAGAGGATCTTCTGCGAATGCCTTTGGCAGCAGTGAAGAAGGCCGGGAGCGTTGGGGAGAAGGCGAAAAGCACGAAAGACTGGAAACGTGATTAAGGGTAAGATTTGCCTTTACGCAGCAGCGGTTTCAGGGAGCACCCTAGGCGGCCCGGCGGCCAAGTCCCCTGTGGGTCTGTCCAACATGAAAACACGCACCCTAACATGCAACCCGGACACGCAACACGCAGCACGCAGAGGGCAGATGCAGCAAACAGGAGGATATGCAATGCGCTGCGAACGACGGCAACATACAGGCAGGCAGGCACACAACG